GAAAAAGTAAGAGCTTGGTTAACTTCTGAAAAAAATATTCATAGTTCTATGGAACAGTACAATGTAAGAATAATTTTAATAATTTATTATTTTGGAATATATTGGCTATGRAAATTTATTGTTTGTTTAGGAATTTAACATATTAGATTTAACTGATGCAGATATTGTAATGTTGGATTCTACTCCTGAAAAATTCCACGAATCTGCTTACAATCCTGATGTTTTGATAGAAGTTCCTTACAATATAGTTATCCAGGATATTGAAAATGTTGACCAGATCCCAGTTATTAGTACCAATAATTAAGTTATAGAAAAATCCCTTCAAAATGTAGGTATTAATTATGTTGATGTTGAACCCCTGGTAGAACCTGTTAGTGTGCATGTCAACACCAGAAAAAAATGTCAATGCTTAGTTCTAATCCAGAGTATCAAGAACCCGTTAAAACAGTGTTAAATGGTAGGAAACAAACAAAGACTAACAAAAGAAAAGAAAAACAAATGATAAAAAACTGTATAACTTCAAATTGGATTTTTTTAAAGAACTGTGGTCACAAAGAAAATAACCAAAATGCTAGTTGTAAAATTGATAAACTATCTGTTGAGGAGGTAAATGCATTCAGGAAAAACCTTTCAGACCTAATAAATAAAATAGATCAAGATCAATTTATACTAACAATGATATCAATATCACTTCCAACTAGAACTGATCGTCATAAATCTACCAGAAATAAGAGAAATGTAATAAAATATTTTATACCAAACAAATTAGGAGTAAAAATTCCCGTTTGCTTAAAAACTTTTAGTCACATCACTAATTTCACTCCTAGACGTCTCAATATTTTAGCTTCAACATTTCTAAAAACTGGTTCAAGTCCAAAAGAAAGAARARGCGGAAACCGTATGAATCAAGATAATTCAGATGAGGTAACCTTAAGTATTATTGAATTTATCTCTCAACTGAAATGTAAAAAAAGTCACTACGCACGTAGTGATTCTGGACGGAGCTATTTGCCACCACAGTGGTCTGTTAAATATCTGTGGGAACAATGGAATAAAAAAAKAATACTTGATAACAAACTAACAGCATCACGAGGCAAATTTCATAAAGTTTTCATTAATAACTTTAACTTAAGTTTTGGCCATCCACGTCAGGATGTATGTTCATTTTGCTCTGAAATGAATGCACGAATACAAATAGAAGATGATACTGAAAAGAAAATGGAATTGAATAATGAATTACAATCCCATAAAATCTGTTCTAAAATATTTTCTAAAACAATGCTTAATGTCAAACCAGGTTCTGTGAATGTATCATTTGATATGATGCAGAATCAACCTATACCAAAACTATCAGTGACTGACACATTCTACAGTAGGCAGATATGGTTGTATAACTTGACATTTTGTATTAATTTTTCTAATTCAGAACAGAGCCCTGAGAACTGTCATTTATATACATGGGTTGAGTCTGAAAGCGCTCGTGGTCCAAATGAGGTGTGTTCTATTTTGCTTCATTTTTTAGAAAAACTGYAAGAACGAATAAAGAAAGAATCAATTCCTATAACTGAGCTTAACTTATTTTCAGACTCATGTTCTGCTCAAAATAAAAACCAATTTGTCGTAGCAACTCTRTTGTACTATATAAATTATAAAAACACCATATTTAATAAAATAAATCATATATTTCCAGTAAGGGGGCATAGTTACATGCCCCCCGATCAAGTTTTCGGACGCATTGAAAAGTATTTACGTAAAAAAGAAATATTATTATCTCCTCAACAGTATTATGATATATTTAAAAAATTTGCTACGGTTCATGTATTTAATAAAGATTTTTTTATATACGATATAAAAAAGGCTGTAAAAAAATTCATGAAACCTAATGTTATAAAAACTACAGAACAGAAGATTTTTATTTATTATAAAGGGAAAAAGACTGTTGATGTATCATCAAATTATAATGAAAATCCCAMTTATATAGTAYCTGTCCTCAAAAGGGGCTGTAGTCTAAACACTTTAGATACAATTGATATATTACCTAAAATTAATTATGTGAAACTGCCTAAACAAAAAGATGTGCAGAATTTAATGCGTTTTTTGTTATCCCAGAAGACGCGAAGGATTTTTATACAGACATTTTTCGATCAAATGAAATATTACCAACTGAAGAAGAAGAAAATGATGTTCCTATTTACAATGAAGATGCTAGTTATTAAGTGTTCATAAGTTASTATTATATTAAATAACTAAATATAAGGTTACTAAACTGCAGTAAGTTAAGAATATTTTTAATATTTATTATGTTTAAGAGTTACATTTTTTTATTATATTATAAAAGGGGTTTATTGAATYATAAATTTGTTATTATGTTTTATGTTATCTTATATTATAAACAATATGTTGTGTTTTAAACTTTTTAAATTTTTATTTCTAACTAATACAAGATGAATTAAAAAAAGTCTGTTAAATATTTATTTCCTATAATTTTATTACATTATGTCTATAAGATTAAAGAATTTTTAATATTTGAATTGATTTAATTTTATTCAAACCTTTATACAGACAAAAAATGTGATTTTTACTAGTGGTACAACGATATTAATAAAGTTACAAAATATAACATGTTATAAAAATATATTTTTAATGGTAATACTTCGTTTTAATAAAAAAAAAAGGATTTATTTCAAAACGTTGTATTGCCAACTTTTCTTCAAAACGTGATATTGCCGGCAATAACGCGTTTTGCATCAACAGAAATATGAACAACTTTAAAACGTGCTATTGCCATTACTTTTTCAAAACGTGGTATTGCCGGTTATACCACGTTTTGGTCTGACACGAAATTTTCAAAGCATTAAAAACAATGTTTACAATTTAGGTAGAATTATTTTGATACTGTCAATCGTTTTATTTTTATTTTTTACATATTAATAAACTTATTCTGAGTGTTTATAGTCGTCAAAAAAAGGTGTTACAGTTTTCCTTGATTTGTGTACATTTTGGTTTTTGGCAATACCACCTTTTGCATTTCCACCCTTCATTTAAGATGTTATATTAGTTATGTRATATATATGGTTAAATTATGTTTTAGGGAATTCAGTATCTCCTAAGCCATTTTCATCAGACTATCAAAGTATTTCATTTTATAGTGATCCAAGAAAAAAGATTTGCTTGTCAGCAAGTCCTAGTACACCAAAAAAAATACAGCAATTTAAAAATGCTGGTAAGTTTTGTATTTTCTATACTATCAATATTTTTTTTTTTTTGATAATATAATTGCACTATATAGGTATGATGGTGCATTTATACTGATTAATACAATTTTGAGGAAAAAAATAAAAAGTCATATTATAGTTATAACAATATTATTTCAGATAAAAGTCATGCAACTTCTAAGTTTGATAATATAAAACATGCTACAATTATCAGTACTTCATCGTCTCCATTTAAGGTAACTCATGATGAAAGTTGTAAAGCAAGTACTTCTCAAACTACTCAAAACAAGCAGATGAATAATAATAGTGGTATGTTTACTTATATGTTTATTTAAAGTTGGAAATATTTTATGCCAATTAGAAATCCATCATATTTCCTTTATAGGGCCAGGAATCCCATGCCTAGATTTGAATTGATATTTAAACATTTATTGATTTATGCTAGTGTTTTTAAGTCTAAATTAAAATTATTAAAATTTTAAAATATTTACCTATTTATTATGTCTCATGATGTTTAAAAATGTATGTATAGCAATAATAGATATATTATTTATAATAATGTCAAATAGTTTCATGAATATGGCTTTAATTAAATTCATTGTGACACTTCTATTATAAAGTTTTTCAGAAATTCCAAAAATTATACTTAGTTTAATAT